ATAACTAAATGTGCCCTTATCAATTCATAAATTCTATATGTATTTAGTAGTTTGTGATTCTTTCTGTTAAAAGGGGAGGCAATGACCTAGTGGTATTATCGCTAGACTATTAATCCAATGACCCAAGTAATGTTCTGGGGATATGGGTTTGAACTCTGCCATTGCAGATGTTGGAATTTGAATTTAATAAATATCTGGAATTAAGAGTCTCATGATGACCGTGAATCAATTGTTGGAAAAACCCATCTGATTCACTAATGTCTTTTAGGGAAGGAATCTACCATCCTTACTTGGTCTGGCCTGCATGTAACTCTAGACCCACAGCAATGTGGTTGACTCCTAACTGCCCTTTGGGCAATTAGGGATGGACAATATATGCTGGCCTAGCCAGCAATGCCCTCATCCCATGAAGGAAAAAAAATCAGTAATAGCTCCCATTAAAATGAATGTAGCAATGCCTACCATATCAAGTAACCTGTAACAAGTTGCTAATGTGCAATAAACTATGTTTTGTTAGTTATTCGAGACTCTTCTCATTAGGCCTGGATTACTCAACTAATTACTTTGAATCAGTGATTAGAATGGAGGAAATGATAGCAGGCTGGATATCACAACCAAACTAATATTGTAATAGGGATAGGGACTCACTAAAACCAACATAAGTGTAAGAATAGTAATAATTAATACTAAAAAGTAACAAATCTCTAGGATCAAATGATTTAAATCCCATGATTTTAAAGAATGCAATTGAAACCATTGTAAATGCCCTATCTTTAATTCATTTTTTTTGGATCAGGAACCATTCCTTTAGATTGGAAAGTTGAACATTTAATTCCACTTTTTTATAAAAGGTAAGGAAGAGAAATCCAGTAATTATAGACCATTTAGCCTAACATCTGTTGTCAGGAATTTACTAGAGTATGTGATTATGGATAAAATGACTGAACACCTTGAAAATTTGCAGCTGATGACAGAGAACAAGTATGAATCTGCCTGACAAACCTGATTGCATTTTTTGAAGAGGTAATAAAGTTAGTGGTTGGAGACTATCTTGGGATGTTATGCAAACGGACTTCCAGAAAGCATTTGATAACGTCCCTTATAAGACACTATTTGCGAAAACACATGAAATTGAAGACAAATTATTGACCTTGGCTGAGAATCAGGAGACAGTAAGTAAGGTAATGGACATGTAATCTCAATTGGTAGAATGCAGCCTAAGGTATTTACAAGGACCTGTATTTACGTTTTGACAGAATGGTCCTCTAACAGCTTTTTTTGTAATAGAAAGGGTATAGGCCATATTCAACCAGACTGTGCTTGCAAACGCAAAACAAAATGGCTACTGTTACATGTGATTCCATGATTTGGTAGCACTTGCTGAACAATCCTAATTGCACTAAAGCTATACTAACAAACAATTTAAGATAAACAATTCCACTCGTAATATAGCTCAGTTACAATTGCTCGAAGCAACACGCATTCATACGCAGGGACTAGTTCTCTGTAAACAAGGGCAACATGTTCAAGGCTTCTACAGTTTTTCAATTACCTGGGAGTTTGAGGATGTTATAGTTTTGTATTGCTTTCTCAATGACACTTCCTTAACCAATCAGTGTCCACTTGTCAACCAGTCAGCATTCTTTTCCCCTGTCAAATAGTTGTGGTCATTTGGAATTTGTTTTTCTACATTTACCCTGAAGAATGCAACACAAAAATCTTGGTCACATGTCTCTTTTTACAGCAATATTCCAGTTTTGAACTAATAATGTGAATTATTAAATCTTTCAATAAATCTTTGTTGATGTTTGGTTAAGTTAACAATCACTTGCACTGTTATAAATTTAAATGTGGAAGGAGAAGAGTTTCTGGTCAAGGAAGTCACCTTCAGATTGTTGAAAGTTTCAGTGCTTCCTTTCCAAATGGCAGAAAAATTGTTAAAGAAGTGAGTACACTTTATTTTCTTTATTCTTATTATTTGCTGTGAGTTATGTCGTCAATATCACATCCATCAGATTCTGTCATCTTATCCCTAGCCGCCTTGTGGCTAGTGGAAGAAATTCCAAAATCCTTCTTCATAATTGTGTCTGTTCATTTTTGTTGACATCTTCTTGTAACTAGGTTGCATCTTTATAGTCTTCCCATGGTAGGATGTGCAAAACTGCACACAGTTTTCCCTTTGGAAACCAAGTTAACAGAAATCTAGGCTCTTTAGCCTATGGAGTCTGCACCAACAAAAACAACTCTAAACCTACACTAGTCCCACTTTCCAGTATTTGGCCCATTTTTTGAATGTACTGATGTTTCAAGTGCTCATCTAAGTACATTTTAAAAGTTGTAAGGTTTCTTGCCTCAATTACCCTCCCAGGCAGTGCCATCCAGACTCCTATCACCTCCTGGCAAAAAAAAGACTTTCCTCAAATCCCCTCTTAACCTCTTGCTTTTCACCCTAAATTTTGCCCCTTGTTATTGACCCCTCAACTAAGAGGAACAGCTGTTTTCTATCCATCCTATCCATGACCCTCATAATCTGACACACCTCAATCAGGTCCCCTCTCAGTCTTCTCTGCTCTAAAGAAAACACCTCAAGCTTATGCAGCCTCTCTTCTTAGCTAAAATGCTCCATCCCATGTGACATCCTGGTGAATCTCCTCTGCAGTGCCCTCACATTTCTTCTTTAGTGTGGTGACCAACACTACCAAATTAATCTATCCAGTCATCTTCAGGGATTTGTGGACAAGCACCCCAAGATTCCTCTGTTCCTCTGAGCTTCTAGTGTCCTGTTATTCATTGAGTTCTCCCTTAACTTGGTACTTCTTCCAAAGTGCCTCACCTCACATTATCAGGGTTAAATGCCATCAGCCACCAATGCGCCCATCTGACCAATCAGTCTATATCCTCCTGTAATCTAAGACCTTCCTCCTCATTGTCAACCACTTGTCTAATGTTCACATCTGCAAATTTATGTACCATCTCCCTGACATTTTCTTCTATACTGTTTTATCTATATCATGAACAGTAAGGGACCCAGCACTGATCCCTATGGATAGTTCTAGCATAAGTTTCACATGCCTTTGATATTTTGTTCTAGCTGCTAGACTTTTACCAAAGATTCTGTTTGTAATTTAAAGAGTTTTACATACTTGAATTCCTTTGGTGACCTGAGTATTTGTAAAGTAAGGCAAATCCTGAAAGAGACACTGGGATTTTCTTGAAAAGTGGTTAACCATATAAATTTGCAAAGGAACTGTCATCTACAAACAAACTAAACTAATCAAATAGAAGTTTGAATTGTAGAAATGAAAGAGCATGAATTTTGTTTTGGACTTTTTATATCCTCAGCTTGTCTCAGACCTTCGTAGCTGATAAAGTATAATCAAGCTGAGCTAAACTGCACACATTACAATCCCAGTAAAAATAGTGTTACAGCTGACCAATTAATTTAGGCTTGGGCAGTGGGAGAATCCCCTGTTCTCTCTCAAATAGTGCCATGGAATCTTTGATCTGAACCCAAGAGAGAAGTAAGAACCTCAGGCTAATACTTTACTTGAGACACAATGGTCTTGACTCTGAAGGTATGCGTTATATAGGTGTAGTCCTGTTACCCCTGGGGAAGTTACCCTGGAAGTCAGGTTAAATGAGAAGGTCTCCACAGGAGGTACCTGGAGCAAGTAGGGAAGCTGCAGCTGATGCTGGCATCCTGGGGTTTTCAATCCATAGTCCAAAGGGTTGGAAGATGAATCTGATTCCCAAACCTGATAGGGTACAATCCTGAATCCTGGAATGCCAGATTTCCAACACCAATGGCTTTTGTATGAGGACAAGTGTGATGGGAGAGATTTGTGAAGTTGAAGGGTAAGTACCCTTGCTCCTCCTATCACAAGTGTTGTAAAGACAACTACCCTTTGTCCCAGAGCTAATTTTGCTTTCATTCGGCTGTCAGGTACTGAAACTTGACCAGCCACAGTTAAACATGCAAAGCAGGTCAAATTACTGGCTGCCAGCTATGCTAAAATAGTTAACTTTACAACACCCTCTCTGTGACGGAGTTGCCTGGTAATGGGGCGCAGGAATTACTTCTGAGAACTTTTAGATTTTGACATTTGATCCAATGAAAGACACCAACTTGTAATTGGGAATTAGAATTCAGCACCATTGTGCATTGACCTTTCAACCTGGAATACATCTGCCACTGGAGTGAGGCTGGAACTCATAACCTTCTGAATCAGTAAGAGAATGTTATCATGGAACCATGCTCAATATGTATCTCACTTGTTGTGATTCTGCAGCTGGTGAAATGTGAAACATCACATGAAAATAACTGGAACTTCAATTGATTTTTAGACTGCTTATGACTGGTTTCAAAGAAACAACCACTGATTTAAACTTATGCAATAGTTAATCCTTTGAACACTGATAACATAGTGAGATAGAAAAATTACGCTAATTACAAATATACTTAAATCGATGGTAGGAGCAAACTACTGCAGATGCTGGAATCTGTACTGAAAACAAAAAAATGCTGGAGATGACTGCGCATCAGGCAGCATCCTTGGAGAAAGAACAAGCTAACATTTTGAGTCTTGATGACTCCGAGATCTGATGAAGAGTCATCTAGACTCGAAATGTAAGCTTGTTCTCTCTCCATGGATGCTGCCTGACCTGCTGTGATCTCCAGCATTTGTTGTTTTCAGGATATTTAAATTGACATTCAGTACAAATTTATTTACATAGTGTCATAGAATGTGCAATTTTCTGCTTATTTTGCAATTGGTATTTTCTTATTTTATACACTTAAGGTCAGGGAAAAGTAAAAGCAGGACTTTGGGGCTTTATGTTCTTGATAATCTGCCAAGTAACATTATAGACTAGATTGGGGGGAGGTGGGGTGTAGGTAGCTTATGATTAAGGAAGAGTGACATCCTCTTCCAATATGATAAACAATGGACTTCTCATTGTAAATGCAAACCTGTTAAAAGACACTTAATTTGAATCTTCAGGTGGTCAGTATCATGAATATTTGTTCAGAAATGTATGATTTGAAGGAAATTATTTACCTTTACAAAAATAAAGCACAGAAGCTCACAGAGGAGCATCAGAGCCAGGTAAGGCTGACAGTTCAAGTGACTTGTATAAATTGACACAATTCAGTATAGCTGGTTTCAAAGTGGGTTTAGGACGCTCAGGAAGTTGGTGATCCTGAGAGCCCTAGTTCCAGATAACTATCGGTCCTGGAGAAACCTATTAAAAGAAACAAACAGTACAATTAAACTGGATAATTATTAAAACACAAAGTCAAAAATCTTAACTCACTGGATGAAATGAACAGGTCAATTTCCTGTGAGCCCTGCGTAAGGCCCAATCTATTTAACAATTGGGATTCAGTTGAATTCAGTGGGTGAGGTGTCCATCAGTTCAGGAATACATAACGGGATGAACACATGAACTGTTGATTTGTCATAGTTTCCCAGAGATGCTGTCATGTGTTTCTGGCATCATCTGAATCTTACCTCTATACTTTTATCAAGCTTTTTGACCAGTCCTCCTAATATCTCCTTCTTTATCGCAGTGTCCATTTTTACCTGATTATGCCTCTGCGTTGAGGTGTTTTTCTGCTTCAAGGATGCTTTGACATGCTGCTCATGGGAATGCTGTTGTCTCTGTTGCTGTGAATCCATCTGCATAATGGGAAAGTGATGGAATAGTTTATGCCATCAGATCCAATGATGGAATATCAACACAGAACTCATTTAAGCTTGTCTTGCTGTATTAGATCGAATGTGCAACATGGTAAAATATATAAATGAAAAGTACTGCAGATGCTGGAGGTCTGAATTGCAAACAGAAAGTGATAGAGAAATTTAGCAGATCTGGCAGCATCTGTGGCAAGAGAAACAGAGTTAACGTTTTGAATCCAGCATGAACCTTTTTTTTAACCTGATGTGACCATGCTAATCGTATACCCTGTTACATAAAAACTTAAAATGGATAATATGGTTTGAAAAATCCAATAGCTCACTGTTATATGAAAACATTAGATTCACAGATGCTTTGGGTGGAAATTTCCACTCCCTTCAGCAGTGGTGAGAAAGTTAGGAAAATAAGGCAGGTCTGGAAAAATCAAATTTTTAATGTTGGAAAACAAAGTTCTGGTTTTCTCTTTAAAGTTTAAGTGGCGAATTCAATATCTTGCTAAAGAGTGGTGACTATTTCCAGGCAGTTGCGTCTGATTATTAGCTAAACTTACTTCGTTTCTATGCAGCACACAACTCTCTCCTTCAAGAAACTAGATGGTGCCAATTCCCGACATCCACATCAGAATGGTAGCCTGGCAGCAACAGCTTGCCATTTTCTTCTATGTCTCCACCAGAACATCCCTGCATGCTCCATGGACACTGTCCTCTTCCACCTTCATCTACACAAGTGGGCATTGCTAAACCACTAGCCTCACCGTATCTTCATGGCTGCTGTATCACCAACTCATACACCCTGTCAGGACTTCATTTTGGAGCTTGGGGACACTTGTGACTTGCATGCTTCTGAGAGGTCACTGTGCATAGGGACACATATCTGTTTTAGGTTTCTTAGCTTTCTTTCTGTGTCTTCACTCATCTTCTGCTTCCTTGGAGGCTGCAGCCTCTGACTTGCATAACTTCCATAAGGAGACCAGCAGCTTGTTGCAGTTCAGAGCCATTCCCATTCAGGCTGGTGGCTATATTACTGTACCATACCGCGCTATGACAATGCCACACCTGCACCATGTGCTAGCAAATTATGTAGCAAACACATAAGTGCTTCAACCAAACAGCAATGTGCAAATGTCAAAAGGAATTAGTCGTTTGTGGGATGAGGGTGAATGCAGAAAGTCGGGGGAGAGGCAATAGTCAGTCAAGGAGCTCCAGTCCATAGATTTGACTGTGATCAGTCCTGCAGGTCAAGTGAAACCAGTTCAGAGTTCAGTCTGTGAGAAATTAAGTATGATACAAGTGGATGGGAGAGCAGTTAGTGATGCAGGAGCAGAAGAGGTGGTGGAGTTATCCCCAGTGAGTGAACAGGGAGCTCAGAAGGCAGGACAGTTTAGTTGTTTGGGAGGGTGAGGTGATTGGTGCAAGCAACAGGTGAGAGCTATAGTCAATATACACCAGATGTGTATGTAGTGACAGAATTAGAGGGAGTTGGGGCCCTGTGTATGAGGTAGGGGTGAAAAGATTGTGGCACCATTGCAGAGCACAGAAGACTATTAGCTTTTTTCAAGCACTGATGTGTTGTGTTCCACTCTGGACATTGCATTCACCCAGGCCATTATTCCAGTCTGGGCTGGCTGAGTCTGGCACCAGTGTCTTCTATACCATTCAGCAGGAAGAGGCACTGGCTGTTTTACCACCACCCCATCCCAAAGGCACCTCCAAGTCCCTGTAGGTGAACCAAAGAGCTAACTTGACTGTTTGCTCCATTTTCTTGGGGATAATGGTGGAGAACCTGAGGGTGAAGGGGCAGATGTTGGCTTGCAGCATTTGAAGTGACATGTAGCTGGGCTTTAAATATGGTGCCTGGAGCAGGAATTATGCAAAGATCTGGCAGCCTTTCTACCTCCCCTGCCACATGGTTCCGTGATAGGGCCGCCAAAGAAGCCTTTGCATAATCAATTATAAAGAACAGAGTTGTAATGGGTCATGGCAGACTGGGTGCCATGAACCTCACATGAGAAAACACTGCCAAGGAGATGGGAAAATTCAGCCTATTGTATCTGGGCTAGTATAAGACAATTTGCTTAACGAGCAGTGCACTTCCATCAGTGTGCCATGCTGCAAATGGCCCAAGTTAAGATGGAGTCTGAGACCTTTATGCCCTCATGTCACCTATTACAATAGTGATGGTATCATGAGCATGTCTCTTAAAAGTACACTGACATACTAACTGCGAGACGTACAACAATAACTGGCATATTTTGATATTTATTCTTGATATTCCTGCTGTTTGAAAGTTTTCAGACCATAGTTACATAGGGCTCCAGATAACTTTAATTTGTTTTTCAGATGTGGGAAAGAAATTGCAGCACGTCTCCTAAAATTCAGTGGAAACCAATTCTGCACTTGTAATATTAATGTAACGAAAAGTATTTATAATGCTTTGTACAGTAAAGCAGGGATATTATTTGTAACATTCTTCGCCTTGTACGTATTGGAGAGGTAGGTAGTATAAACATTTGTGATCAAATCAGGCAGATACTCTCGGGAATAAATTGTGAATCACTTCAAAACCATTTAATAGTTTTGCATAATTATGACAAGTTTGATTTTTGGTAAAATTATCTTGTATTATTTTAGGAAATCAGTTTACGAGCAAACCTGATCAGCAAAACCTTCCAGATAATTCAGACATATTTCTACCTCATTGCTTTCAACAGCTATCTTCATGAACAGGTCAGAAGCATTAATATTTATGTACAGGTCAGTATGGATAGAAACATTATAGTGTGGGTTATATTGGTGGAAAATTGAAAGACCAAAGTAATTCACAGACATATAGGTTATTCTCCTGTGTGATCCCATCCAACATTGAGTAGGGTTAGAGTGGAACATCACAGAAAATTTATCAAAGAAACAATTTTCAAACTGTTCATTTTAATAGACAGTTAATTAAATGTATTGTGCATCCAAGATTTTGATATCTGCTTGTAACTCCCTGTTGAGAACATGAAAGAAAGAATTTGCATTTATACCACCTGTCACAACCACAGCATGCCTCCAAGTATTTTACAACCAATGAAGTACTTTTGAAATGTAGCCACTGTTAAACTGTAGGAGTCATGTCAGCCAACTTCAATAAACTGTCAGATTCCAGCTACAATGATAAGAGAATGAACTAACATGACTGACTGGTCATTGCTGCACACATTCAGTTGGACTTTCTATTCCTCATGTCTGCCTGCCATCCTTAATTGAAAGTGTCTCCCAGAGGTGATTCCTTAATTAGTCAAAAAAAACTGAAAGAACTGCAGATGCTGTAAATCAGGAACAAAAACAGAAGTTGCTGGAAAAGCTCAGCAGGTCTGGCAGCATCCGTGAAAAAAAAAATCAGAGTTACCATTTCATGTCCAGTTCTGACTGGACCCGAAATGTTAGCTCTGATTTTTTTTCTTCACAAATGCTGCCAGACCTGCTGAGCTTTTCCAGCAACTTCTGTATTTGTTCCTTAATTCGCCACCTCTGTGAAGAGTGTAACCAATATCCCACCACAGCCCTTTCTGGGTTTCTGACACTCCGTTTGGACCGACATTGAGAATGGGGATTCAACTTGAAAAGTTCACCCCAGGATGAACTCATCCAAAGCACAGCCTCCAACCATACAGAACTCCACTGAAGCTTCAGCTTAGATGATGTGCTCAAGTGTCTGGATTGGGACTTGAACCCACGCTTTTCAGTGAAAGTAACAGTGCTACCACTCAATAATTCCAACACCTTGGAACATAAGTTTATTAGGGGTTTCTAAAGTCATTAAACACCTTGTTACAATTTTAGCATCTGAACATAGTTTTATGCGAACTATTTTTAAATCTATTTCCAGTATCCATTAGCTTTCTCAGTCATGTTCAGTACTTGGATGCGGAGGAAACCCTTCTTGTACAGGCTACTGACTGCTATGTCCAGACTGGACACGAAGACTCCTGCCAATCTCATCAGCGGCCGCCATTGTGTTCTAGTAAGTCAATTGCATTCATTGAGAACTTGTTTCAAGTCAACTGAATTTCCATGAAAAGGAGGCATTTTGTTCTTATAGGCTACAGATAAGGCCGGTTTCCTTGGACAGCTGGTTTGCAATGCAGAGTGATGCCAACAGGGTGGGCTCAATTCCTGCACTAGCTGAGGTCCACAAACAGGTCCTAACTTCTCAATCTTGCTCCTTGCCTGAGGCATAGTCACCCTTAGGTTGAACGACTACCAGCTGTTTGTTCCTCTCTCTCTCTCTAGTGAAAGAATGGAATAATAGTGACTTTTTTTTACATCAGGGTTAATAGGATACTTAGTATTTTTTGTTTCTGTGTATGTCTGTGATGCCAACAGCATGGGTTCCATATGTACCTGCTCAGGGAGGAAATTACTGAGGAAACCAATTATAAACAATTTGTTAAAAATCACTGAGTACAGCACTTAGACTTCTGGTAAAAGTACTTCTGCTCTAGTACCTCACAGAAAATGCATTTCTGTCAATTTATGTAGAAAGTGCAATGTTCACGTATGAGAAGCTTGTGAGTGAGTTAAACAATATGGAATGTAATTACATTTGTAATAGAATGTACCGGTCTGTGCTAATGTGCACAATGTAATTATATTCCAGTGTGTGCTGTAGCACAGACTGGTACATTCTATCACATGCGTGCTTAAGAAAGATGGCACAATCATGGTATGTTTGGAGTCAAAATGTTCAAAAGAATTCATATGAGCTAAATTCTTACCTAAGTTGGATGCCAAACATGGGTTTTGGTTAGTTTACTCAGCAAAGGAATCTCATGAAATCACTGCTTTCAAAACAATATTTGGAAGGATATTGGTCCAGATGTAAATATATTGAAGGCAGTTCAGAGAAGGTTTGCCATACTAATATTTGATATGGACAAATTATATGATTGGGGAGAGATTGGACAGGCTAGGCTTGTATTTGATGATGTCTAGAAGAGGAAGATGTAACTTGATTGAAATATATCAGATCCTGAGGGATTTTTGACAGGGAAGATGTGTAGATAATATTTCCTCTTCAGCAAGAATGTAGAACAGGGATTCACTGTTATAAACACCATTGCCCATTTAAAATAAAGATTAGGTGCAAGTTTTTCTTTCAGAGGGCCACAAGTTTATGAAACTCCCTCTGAAAAGGTGGCAAAAGCACAGTCCTTGAATATTTTGAAGACAGAAGTAGATTCTTGTCAAGCAAGGGGTTGAAAGGTTATCGGAGGTAATCAGGCTTGATCTTCTTGAAAGGTGGATTAGGCCCAAAGACCGAAAGGCCCAGTCCTGATCCTGATTTGTATGTTTTATGTTCATAAGTACAGCAGGAGGATCATCTACAATAGTTTAAATCATACAAGCAAATATTATTAGCATAAACTGGGATCCTACAGTATGATGACCCAAAGGTAAAGACAATCCTTGATGTTGTCCATCATACAAGACAGCAAACCAATTGCATTTGCATCCAAGCTTCTTGCAAGTGCAATCTGATCACTCCAATGTTGTGTAAAACACTTACTCTAGTATCTTGTGTCCCAAGGTTCCATATGTGCCTGTGAGAAAATTGCCCAGTGGAAACTGATTATAAACCACTGGAAAAAATTTGCTAAAAATCACTGATGAGCGCAGCACTTAGACTGCAATGATTTCTGGTAAAAGTACTTCTGCCATAAACCTGACACAAAAATGATTACCTTGAGCAGTTTACCAAATCTGAAACAGGATGTAGACATTTTTCTCGGTGTTGAAGTAGACACAATGGACATTGAGATGGGAAATGTTCTTCAGATCAATTTGATGAAGGTTGGTCAGTACAAATGCAACCAACATCAGGTGGAAATAGCTAATGATCCACAACAAAGTTATCATGGAAGGATGGTCTAACATGAAACAAGAGGTGCCAGTTACTTTTGACCATTTAGAGATGAAATACATACCTTCAAGAGATGTAATGGAAGCTCATCAACATGACATATTGTCACATGACCCAGAGGCACATAGGCATTAAGCAAACAAGATACTTGACATGGGATACTATGTATCGGTCAGACATCAACAAAGACATCAAAAAGTCAATGTAGATGTGCAAGACATGTTACAGTTACCATCCACAGCAACACAAAGGACCTCTTCACCTTCATGAAATTCCATTAGTCCCTTGGTCCAAAAGCAAAAGATTTATTCACCACACATGGCGGCATGTTTTTCCTCATCATAAACCAAATTTCCAATTGTCAGAGTTAGGAGACACTTCAAGTGCGTTCACAGCAGACACAATGAATGTAATGGTCAATCTATCCAGTATACCTGAAGAGTTCATACCTGACAATAAACTGCAATATACAAGGCAGACATTTGGAGAGATGTGTACCAAATGAGCAATAAACCATGTGACAGCCTGACCACTTTATTTCAGTTCCAACAATCTTATTGAGTGAATGGTTCATACTGTCATAATTATCATGAAGTGCAGGGTGACAAAACAAGATAATTGTGTTGTTGTGCTATGCCTAAGAGCTACACCTCTGAATATGAACTTACCATCACCAGTAGAAATCATGTTTAGAAGGCAAGTTAAAATAACTCTGCAAAGCCATCACCTGTTTAAGTTCTCAGATATACAGGAAAAACTTCTTGAAAAACAAAGGAGAATGAAGATGGTACATGACAGACATGCAGATACAGAACTGTCTAATCTATGTATACAACTGAAAGCCACAGTTATACATCCAATCCAAGGAACGTGGCTACCGTCAGAGGTTTCCGAAATACCTGGTGAGCCTAGTTCCAATGAGATTGCAACACCAAATGGATCAATATTGAATAGAAACAGAAGCCAAATCAGGGAATTGTACAATACTACAACTGTGCATAGTTCACACACTAAAATACATTTGGTTAATACAGGTATCGAAGACCACCATGCCAGCAACAAACTTTCTAACAACACAAAAGAGACTAACATACCAAAGTTGAGAGCGATCAAGTATGACATCTAGGTCTCCAGAAGTTTATACCTTCATGAGATCCAGAAGGACCATCAAATCACCTATATCTGAGAGTCATAGACTCATATAGCATGGAAACAAACCCTTTGGCCCAACTAGTCCACGCCAACTGTGTTCCCAAACTAAACTAGTTCCACTTGCTCGTGTTTGGCCCATTTCACTCCAAGCCTTTTCTATTCATAAACTTTCCAAATGTCTTTTAAATGTTGTAACTGTACTTGTATCCACCGCTTCCTCTGGAAGTTCATTCCATACTCAAACCATTCTGTGTAAAAATGTTGCCCCTCATGTCCCTTTTAAAACTTTCTCCTCCCACCTTAAAAATATGCCCCCTAGCTTTGAACTCTCCACCGTAGGGAAAAGACTCTTGCTATTCACCTTATCTATGCCCCTCATGATTTTATAAAACTCTATAAGATCACCAAGAATTGTCATCCTTGTGTTCAAATCCTTCCATAGTCTCATTCTTGTTTATCTCTTTAACCTTCTACAACTTTCCAAGATCTCTGTTTCCTTCAATTCTGGCCCCTTGTGCATCTTTGTTCCGATTGTCCCTTCATGGGCAATGGTACCTTCAACGTTGAGGCCACAACTTCTGAAATTCCCTATCTAACTGCTACACATATCTAAGTTTCTCTCCTCATTAAGATACTCTTGAAGATCTATCTCTTTGCCAAGTATTTGGTCATTTGCTTTTATCTCCTTTTGTAGCTTGGTGCTGAACTTATCTGATAATGCTCTTGTGAAGTGTGTGGGCTTTTTTGCTACATTACAGCTGCTAAACAAATGCAAGTTGTTGTATATGCACTCAAGATGCTCTGCATAGTAGAACCTATTCGCAATTGGCAGAAGAATTGAACCAGTATTGCACGATGCCCTCCAGATTTAATATCAATCTCCAAATGTAAATTTTTCCACACTTCTGCCCATCATTTTTCAGATAGTACCAGACAAATATTTAAAAGATCTCTGAAAAAGACTTCCTGACAGACTGTGAAAAAACAATTGCCCTTTAGCCGGTCTGAATAATTTCAATACTTGAAAAGTCTCAAATGACCTTTCTGTCTATGTTTAAACTGTTTCTGTTCACTGCTTGTTAATTGTACAGGAATGAAAGCAGGTTAAGGAATAGACTCACACAATATTAACAATATGATCACTGACCATCCTGTTCTTTCTTATTTGAAAGCTCAATATGCTTTACAGTCTCAAATGAACCCTGTGCTTGTGACCTACAGTTTGCGGATGAGTCCTTGGATCTTGATGAAATGAGTAGTCTGAGACAAATGAGGGTGGCAAACTACAGAAAAGTTTCAAAAATGCCTATATGTGGAATGGCACAACCAAATCCAGAGGTCAGCAATCCCATTCATTTCACCATGTACTCCGCTGCATTCTGTAAAACAGCCTCAATTATACTAACTTGCAACTTTGTCTAACAGGGTCTCTAAATAGCAGTTTAGGATCTTGTGTAAGCTGTGTGATCAGTTGGGCAATATCTTCACAATCTGTTGACCAATCCTTCTAATATTGTTTGATGGTATACCTAAAATAATGGGTACATCTGGTTACTGACTAGTAGATACTTTGCATTCTAAGACCAACTCCTATAAATACTAGTTTTTAGCTCCTGTATAATTTGGTGGACAGCTCAGTCATATAGCGGGAAGCTCATTCTGGTGAACAAATTGAACATGGAATGGCCAAAGGCTACTCTACTGTTCCTCTATATACCAGTGGCTGTATAGTTATTCACTGGTTTAAACTCCTCTAAGTACTGTCTAGTAGTTATATATAATGGTGGATGCCTCTCCATGTACTGATGGACACCAGTCCATTGTTCTTTCTGTATATCGTAGAAGAGTCCTTCTATATGCCACTGACTAAGGCCCTCTGTATAACAATGGATACTTCCTTTGTGCAACAGTATGTACTGCCCTCTATATACAGTATTGGAGCACTGTTAATTTATACATAGTGTGCAATGTCCTTTCTGTAGCCCCCAGTGAGCAGGCCTTCTAAATATTGGTCAGCTGACATGTTAGGCATTGATAAGTAACTTATTATAAACTCTCCACACACTGATGGGCATTCATTTTTGGGAGATTGCAGATGTAGTTGTGAGCCAAATGCAATTCCATAAATGTCGAAGTAACTTGAAAAGGCGCTTATGCTGTGATAAATCAGAGTACTGGGTGCCTGAGATCTAAAGGTAAAATAATTTTGATTACAGGGACTGGTGCATGTTCTCTCCTACTTGACAGATGATTGCGGGAAATTTACCTGAGTTTTATGTTTGAACCTGCGAGAGGAAGCAGTGCTGGAAGGCGATGGAAAAATGTACTCGCTCAGAGAAGTCAACAATCTTCAGCAGGAGATCATCATTCCTGTGACAACAGTGGAGCAACTGGAGGTGAATACCCTCAGCTTCTCATTACCGAGCAAATGATAGTTTTTAATATTGATTAAACAATAAAGACTTTGGGCCAAAATAGCTTGCTTTGACTATAAATAACTTACAGGTAAAAGTCAGATTTGTTCATGCGTTGCGAATTTGGGTAAAGTACTTGTGGATTGGGAGGCAGAAAATTAGAATTGGTGTTTGTAAAATGCTACAGGGAAAAGCATTGTGTGGTCCCTTTAAAAGATGATGTGGTTTTTCTGTGCTTAGAAATTTAAAATGGATGTCTGTTTGCAGCAGCTTGTAATTTTGAAAGAAAGAAAGAGCACCTGAATTAAAACATTTGCATTGAAAGGCTATACAGTTAGCAGGCCAAGCATCAGTTTTTTTTTAACAAGACAACAGGCTTTTGAATTTAGCCAATCAATTTGAACCAGGAAATTAGATACCAATAAACAATTAAATTTAAATCCGATGGTTTTGACAACATAGAACCAATTCTATTGTAAGAAATATTGATACGTCATCAAGGGTATAAAAGAAGGGGGCATTTGGACAAAGCCTCAGAACTAGCTACCATCTACCAGAACTAACGGCCCTCAGTTCTCAAGAGAGAATCATTGGCTCTCACAGCCTCCTCTATGTCTTAGAGAAAATACCATCTAAATAACAACAGTACCAATGGCACAACTAGATAATGTTCCTGGCAGAAGAATCAACAGAGAAGGTATTCCTGACAGAAGAATTGATGGAGGAAGCATTGAACATTCTGGAAGGCACATAACCTGGCTATAATTTTGAAAGACTAAATCCTTTTTTATTATATCAGTGTGACTTGTATTTATTGGAACAGCATACTATTAGAATCTTGCTGTATTGAGGAACAGTTAGTTGTTAGAAGGGATTTATTATTTTGCTGATAGTTTAGTTAATTTGTTCACTGTTGGAGTTAGATAAGCAAATTGTTACTTGTTGATTTTAGAGTGTCAGGGATTTATTTTATTTAACCACTAGAAGTTGCAGAAAAGCAGGTTACGCCACTTTTTACACTTCTTTTACTTCTTTTACAGATCATGAGGTGAGATGCTTCTCTTTGGGTGTTTCGGTTTTGGTTCTCAGAGGGGCTCAACCTCCGCTTTATAACACATGTTTGATGTTGCTCTTAATTACATTACACAAATTCAATGATGAAACTGTCTTTCTGAATGCCTTCTTTTTAATTGAGCCCCTTGAGGACCAATGCTATAACCTTTCATTTTATGCTGCGTGATTTCCAGCCACCAGTTCCTAATGCAGATATCAAGGGGATGTTTGCCCGGATCAACACATGTCTTGATCACTTTATGATGCCTCTGGACCTTTATCTGCATTTCTCTGACACACACTCAGCAGGACTGAGGCTCTGTGCTAGCAATAGAATCATAAGTCACAAAAGAAAATAACTTGATAAAAGACCTGACGATGGGTGTGGGAATCTTTAACCTGATTCACACCTGCTCTTTGCTTCCAAATCTGAAATAAAAACAAAGTGTTGGAGAAACACAACAGGTGTAGCAGCATCTATGGAGAGAGAAACAGAGTTAACATTTTAAATGCAAGATGACTCCACTCCAGAAGCGGTGGACGAAAGCCACAAGGTAGTTTAATGACAAACAGCTTTTGTCTTTAAGTAAATGTTTTTTATTGCATATTTGTAATCAGATTCAAGTTACAGACATTGCTTTCTTAGCACTCACTCACACTACATTTACACTGACTTTATCACTTACCTATAGACTGCCAGCCTCTGTGTAGGTCACAGCTTATGGGGTCTTTAAAGCTCAGTGACAGGTTGCTAGCTTCTGTGGCGTGCTTTGCTTTTTTGTAGAGAGGAAGAGACAGGTAGCTGGTGATGGTGGGGATCAATGAACAGTCAATCTGTCCGTTAGATAGCTGGGTGGACATGACATTATCAATGTTACAGATGCAGCATGTGACAGCAGGTAATGTGGCAGAGCTACTCCATGTGTTTCAAGCAAATGGTCACATGTCAAAATCGAGTGTGAACAATCCTTATTGGGGTGAAATGGGAAAATGGTGAGTAAAGGGGTACAGCTACGGTCAGTCAAGGACCTTGATTAATTCCACTTCACAGGGTTGGCCATGGTCAGATAATTTGTCTTAGGAGAGACCGGAAATCAATGGCTTTTCAAAGCATGGAATTAGGCTACAGTTAGTCCTGCAGGTCAAGTGCCTCAAGTCCGAGAATTGCAGGTAGGGCAGTTGGGTGCTGTTGAGACATCAGTCTGTGATCAGGCCAAGGTCATAGGGCTGTGTCCTGCAAAGTCATTCTGGGAGTCAGGGTGGGCCAAAGTCAGTCCTTTGTGGGGGTTGATCAATAAAGATCAGAGGGTTTATGAAGGAGCAATCAATGAAGTCCCAAGCAAAGTAAGCACCGCAAGTCTTGGAGGGGGCTTCATTGTACTGGGTCTCTGAGGGAAAGGAGACAGTCCTAGGGGTAATTGGATATGGTAGGATGGGACAATGTAACGAATAGGAGTGGACTGGGATTTCTGGAAAGGGGTGGAGGTACAAACAGGTCATAAGAACTTTGGCTTCTAAAAGCGGAGTATGTAGACCCAACAAGGGTATGGGAATTTCCAAGGTCAAGTGGGCATATCAGTAGTTATACAAAGGGCCTCAACAGAAACAGAAGGAGGCTGAAAATTCAACAGGGACACATGGACAGTAAAACAGTAACGGACATGAAAGATGGGTGATATTTGTGTGTGAGCGGTGGAGCCTGCAAATAACTCACGTTGAAGGAATGTTGGAACCTTGCCATATTGGATCGAATGTAAACTTGTATTAAATGCACACAATGACTGACATCCGTATGGAAAGTGGATGGAATATGTTGCTTCTAATCCACAATGCCACATCATTCTTGCTGGTGTAGAACATTTAATAATGTGGAGACAATGTGTATTTCCTGTTCTAGTGGTAGCTTGTAGCTTCTGCCTGGGCTAAACCAGGACTGTGGATTGACTGACAATTGTAGAAACTGCTAATATTCCATTTCTCTTGAAACCAAAATGGGCATCGCACTTTACTGAAGGTTTTAGGCCCCAGCAACAAGTTAATGTCTCTGTTCATTTTGTCATGTGGGAATCAAAGGAGAAATCTGTTGTATATGGTAGCCCACAAGGGGCTGCAAATGAGGAACTTTCCTCTAACTCATTGTAGTTGAAGCTCAATTTTAATTTTGTTTCTCTTTATCATGATCCAGGAAGTTGAGTCTGCCTCTAAAATAGATGTGTTGAGCTCTAAGAATGCTATAGAGACATGGTGTGAAGAAACAAAGCAGCTGAAGCAGTTTGCATCTTGTAACACCCTGCCGGAGGTTTTCACTCAGATAACCATGCAGTTTCCCCAGCTGTATTACAAGCGCATTCCAATTACAGACTGCGCAGCTCCCAGAGAAGAGGTACACTTGTGTGATTCATTCACATTTGTTGGTTTTTATTCTATTTGTGATTGTTAGCCTTTGTTGTCCCAAACAGGGTAGGGAAGAAAGCACTTGTATGTATATAGTCTATTTCACAACCTTGCAATGTCTCAAAGCAAGTAACAACCAATTAAGCACTTTTGAAGTGCAGTCCCTATTGTAATGCAGCAAATGTGCACACAAATGGATACATGACCAGACAATGTATATTTAATGCTGTTGGTTGGGGGATAAATATTGTACAAGACATTGGGGAGGACTTCCTTACTTTTTGATAGTGTAATGAGATCTTTTACATCCACCTGACAGGGTAGATAGAACCTTGAGTTAATAACCTTGAGTCCAACAGATGGGACCTTCGATAATGCCACACTAGTCTCGGCCTGGATAATGTGATCAACTTTCTGGACCATAACACCATAAGTAGTATAAACAGGAGCAGGCTGATCTGCCCACTTTGTTGGCCTTTCCCATTTTTCCCCTATTGTTCAAGAATCTATCTATTGCAGCCTCAAGTACAAAAAAAACTCTGTCCCTACAGCTTTCTGTGGTAAGTAGTTCCAAAGACTCTCAACCCTCTGAGAGAAGAAACTCCTCCTCATCTCAATCTTAAATTGGCACGCATTTATTCTGAGACTATGCCTTCTGATCCTAGACTCTCCCATGAGTCATAGAATCATACAGCATGGAAACAGACCCTTTGGTCCAACCAGTCCAAGCCGACCATATTCCCAAACTAAATTAGTCCCACCTCCCTCTGCTTGGACCATATCTCTCCAAACCTTTCCTATTCATGAACTTATCCAAAATGTAACTGTACCTGCATCTACAGCTTTCTCTGGCAGCTCATTCTATACACAAATCACTTTCTATGAAACAGTTGTCCCTCATCTTCTTTCACCTTAAAATTATGTCCTGTAGTTTTGAACTCCCTCATCCTAGGGAAATGACCCTTGTCATTCGCCTTATCTAGTTACATTGACAGACAGCAAAAGATGGGAGTTGTTCTCCCTAGAACAGGAAAGACCAAGAGAAAATGTCATAAATCAAAAAAAGTTCTGTTTTATTCATTCATGGATATGGGTGTGACTTGTTGGACCAACATAAATTGCCCATACCTAATTGACTAGGGACAGTTAAGATTCAACGAATTTGCAGTGGGTCTGGAGTCACATTTAGGCCAGGCCCAGGTAAGGACAGCAGATTTCTTTCCTTAAAGGATGTTAATGAACCAGGTTGGAAAATTATTGAAATATTATTCAGAATCTTCCAAAACTCTTTCAATAGAGCATCTAGGATTAGAAAATTCCTAATAGCGTGATGTAGTTCAGAGGATTAAGAGGGATAAGGATCATAAGCTGGTTGTCAGTTGTGGCAAACTTACTAGACTCTTTTTTAGTAGGAACAGAATAATTGAAGATTTGGACAAATGTGAGCTGGTCAAGGAGAATTAGCATAGAATCTTTTTTATTCACTTGTGGTACTTGGGCATCTCTGGCTGGCCAGCATTTACTGCCTGTTCTTGGGTGCCTTTGAGATGAATAGCTTGCTAGGTTATTTCAGAGGGCATTTGAGAGTCAACCACATTGCTACAGGTCTGGAATCACATATAGGCCTGACTAGTCAAGGATGGCAGATTTCAAAGAAGAACAAAGAACAAAGAAAATTACAGCACAGGAACAGGCCCTCTGGCCCTCCT